GCAATTACTTCTGGGTTAGACTCTTGATGAATGTCATAGCAGGGTGTTTTAATTTAATGGATCCAGAAAAAACATCTGTTTCTAATATTTTAAAAGCCAATTTATATGGAAATTCATTTAATATACAGTCAATACACGGAGACTTGAAAAATCAAATTGGAAAATCAAACAACTGTGATGTCGTCGGTCTTCCATTAACAAAGGACTTAGCCATGTCTAGGCTCAGCTGCTGCTAGGTAACACTCACAGTATCATAGCTTAGAAGAAATAGCAATGTGTATTTAGAGAAATGGGACAGTTAACTTAGGGCTAGTGTCTACCAATAAAAGCAGGTCAGTGTCCTTCTTTGATTACCTTGGTCAGCTGTGTGCAACTTCTTTCTTTTTTTAATTTAATAGATTTTCTATTCATTTTACATACCGACTACAGATTCCCCCCTCCTCCTTCCTCCCACCCCCAGCCTTCTCCCCCAACCCAACCCCCATTCCCATCACCTCCAAGGTAAGGTCTCCCATGGGGAAATCAGCAGACCCTGGTACATTCAGGTCTGAGGCAGTTCCAAGCCTCTCCTCCATGCACCAAGGCTGTGCAAAGTGTCCCACCACAGGCACTGGGCTCCAGAAAGCTGGCTCATTGTGTACAACTTCTTTTCTGGGCCCTGGTGGCTGCTGCAACTCAGTGGTAGTCCATATTGCAAAAGGATGTGCCTGGGAGTGGGGATGTTACCGTGCTTTCTGGAAGTAGTAGATCAAAGTCAGTCACATGACCATATTTAACATTAAAGAAAATATGAGAGAGAACCATGTTCTCAGCTCAAAACATTCTATTAAGATGAAAGAAGAACCACTCACATGTTGGGAAAACAATGAACTATTTCTATTGTGCAATTTTAAGACATAGTTTTAACAGATTGATCTTTGTATTAAGTATCTGGAAACATTCATTGGTTCTCATAAATAGATAATATACATAAAAGACAAGCATGGTGATGGGTGGAGAGTAGGTAACTACCAATAACTAATTAATAGCTTTTTTTCAAATTCTAAATTCTACATTTATCTAGATAATATACATAAAAGACTAGTGTAGTGATGGGTGGAGAGCAGGTAACTACCAATAACTAATTAATAGCTTTTTTTAAAATTCTGAATTCCACATTTATCTGAAATTAGAATCTGTTTGTCTACTAGACTTTATGAAGGACTTTAAGACTTTACTTTGATCCTTGTGAAATAATACTAACAGCTAACCATGTAGAGGTATCATTTGTACTAGAGTTCCTACAATGCTCCTGTGTCTATAAAGCAATGACCTCTGCTTCACTATGTCAAAGATAAATGAATAATTATGAGTGGTTTCAAGGTAAAAGTGTATCACAGAAACAGAAGCTCAGAGAAGCTGATTGAGGGGCCAGTGAGAGACATCGTTAAACATTACCTTGGCCAACTATCTCTGCCCCATGTAATTACTGACTCTTCTCTCTCTCTCTCTCTCTCTCTCTCTCTCTCTCTCTCTCATCTGTGTACCTTTGCATGACATTATTAATCTGTTTGGATAGTTGTTGTGTTTTTGTGTTTTATAAATCAGTCAAAAAATTACAGAGCTGGCGCTCAGGACTGTTCCTTTTAATCCATGATTTTTCCAATGTGGCCTTTCAAAATACTTATGCAAAGGTTCTTTTGAACTCACAACAGATAGAAAAACTGGAAAGGGCTGGAGGGATACATCTTTAGGCTAGCTTCTCATCATGTGTTCTGCATCTTCTAAAATGTCCAAACTGCCCTGATATTGGACTAATAGAGAATTGTCCAGTTCTGGAGCTTCATAAGTATCCTGGCTTTTGACTCAGGTGCTTCTGTAGTTCTCTCTAATTAGAAAGTATGTGCCCCAGGGGCACAAAATAATCCAAATGTCTCCTTGTTGACCAGGAACTATAATAGCACAGAAGATGAATCTTCTAAATAGATTCATTTACATACGATCTTCAACATTTGAATTCTGTCCTCTTAGGGCTATTGATTGTTTAATACGTCTTTGAAAGCATTAAAAATCATATAATATATTTTGATCATATTCTCTCTATCCACCCCTCAGTTCCTCCCAGATCCTTCCTTCTACCTACCCAACTTCACATTTCTCCTTTAAAACACAAAA